CTCTCTCTCTCTCTCTCTCTCTCTCTCTCTCTCTCTCTCTCTCTCTCACACACACACACACACACACACACACACACACACACACACACCTCAATTTCAAGTATCTAAAAAGTCATTCTGGAAATTATAAAGATTCTGAGAAAATAGACAACCCCAACCATACTTGAATAAGAAACAGTCTTTGATGAGGCAAAGACATTATTAATAATTTCTTATACCTGCAGGGCTCTTATCCCAATAACACCAAGGACAAAGATAGACTGCTGAAGTAAGTCTTTGATGAAGTCCATACATGGATTTGACACTGTAGCAGACAGAGGCACAAAGAAAGCCTCTGTCGGCTCTTGTACGCACAGTTACAACATTGCTAAGGGTGGCATACTGTAACTAGGTGTGCAGTTGGCCTTTATCGCATGGTGACCACTGGAAGAGGCATTTGAATTTTGAGGGGTGACAGAGAAGTTACATGAAGAGAGTCATCCTTCAAGAGGGATTTTTGTGTGTGTCATCAACATCCCATGCAGTCTTTTTAGAAAAAATAGAATTTTTGAAAGTGACTACCAAAATGGCCTTTCTGGCTCACTCTACTTGTAAAGAAATGTCTGAGATTTTGCTTCTCAGATAGATCATCCAATTTAAGTCTTGGTCTCCTAGAGAAATAATTGTTCCTTCTAAACTATATTAAAACATGGCCAATTCCCCCAGGCATTATTAACATCTTGTCACTGTATAAATGTTAAGCAGAAGCAGCAGGAATAATTTTATCCTGGGAGTCAGTGTGACAGATTGCAGTTTGAGGTCTTAGTAAAGGTCATAAAAAGAATTAGAATGCCTTTATCCACATGATTTATCCAGCGCTGTAGGACTGACTATACCAAACAGCTACAATAAGAATGAAAATTTCCATTTTAATTACACGAGCACCAGATTGCTAAAACCCAGACAATTTTAATCAATACCCAGTGGAAGCACTTCAAAGTACTTTTAAATAGTAAAATTCTTCATGTGATTCAAAAGTAGCTAGCCTTAAATATTTCTGCTTAACCTATTTATTATACTTACATGAGATACTGTTCTACCCTATCTAAGTCAATGAACAAGTAGGTAAAGGCATCCTAGCTCCTAAACATGACACTTCCGGATATTACATTGTCCTTAGAGACAACAAATACAATAATTTTAGTTTTATCAATGGAGTTTGAATAAATTGGACAGCTGGATAGAAATATATTGCATCAGGCATGTTAAAAACAAACATGATACAGAGAAACCCTGTCTTGAAAAACAAAAAAAAAATATGAAATCAGGAGCTTACAATGAAATTACTTCCAAAGAAATCTTGCTAGAACCATGTTTTATTAACACTAATACTCCACCATCCCTACCTCCTTTGGAGAGAATACCTCTAGATAGTGAGCAGAATCAAAGTCAAGATGAAGTTGATTGTGTTAGAAGACAAAAGAAAGCACTTTCCAGGAAGATAATTAGGCTCATGAGAGTCAAAATCCAATCTTTTAAGCAGTATGAGTTCTTCATTCTATTCCTCAATCAATTATTGAAGCCCATTTCAGAAATTTACACAATGAATGCTGCCAATGCACAGAGATTTTGGAGGACATTAGAGCTGCCTAGAGAGGAATGGAGCATAATCTAGTCTCTTCTGAAACAGTCCCAGCATGTGAGTATTTGCTAGAAGGGCTAAAATGAATTATTTTCTCCCAATTAGAGTTTTGGGAACAATTAAGTACTTTAGTGACTTTCAGTTTGGTAAGACCCAGTAAGTCACCTGAAAACACTTGACATACTATAAATACATTCATTCTTATCATTGAAACACAAATTGGTAATCATCTATTAGTCACCTACTGAATACAAAGTACTCTGATAGGCCCTTTACATATATAACCTAACCTGCTTTATCAGAAGCTTTGCAGTCTGCTTCTTTGAAGATGAAATCACTTTTCCTTTAAGGCCTTAAATAATTATCACAGATCATTAAGTGGAATAATAAGACTGAGGATTAATCATACCAGCTAGATTAACATTGAGAGTAATGAAACCGCCTTAAGTAATTTCAGCTCTACACTCATGATTCAGCTGTAAACTTCACATCCATTTTTTTGGACATATATATATATATATATATACATATGTCACAAGGTACTATGGACTGATTGTTAGTATCTACCCTGAGTTTTTATTCCTATTCTTATTAATATATGCTTATTCATATATGATTTATAATCATTCCACCAACTCTCAGGATGATGATATTTGAAGGTAGACATCTTAGAAGATGAACAGACTTACATCAATCTTGAGGGTGGGGCCCCTAGGATAAGATTAGTTACTTTAATTGGAGAAGATGAGATAGAAATTCGAGTACACTTCTACAAGTGAGGCTGTAAGGAGAAGATGCTTATTTGTAAGTCATTGAGGGGCCCTAAATGAGGAAATGAATATGAACCTTTATCTTGGGCATTTAGCTTTCAGAACTATGAGGATTAAGTTTTTGTTGTTTAGCCCTTTGGTCTTTGGTGATTTTGCTACTGCAACTCAAAAGTAAACAAGGTAAAGATAAAGAAATTTAGTGATGTGACTTAGGCCACTTTTTAACATCTTCCTCATGACAAGCTGAATTATACTTCTTCCTGAATTTGGTAACTTGATTTGTAGTTGAGATATGTAGAGACTAGTTATGACTTTGTTCTGGCAATGGTGAACCTACAGAATTGATGAAATATTTTTTAGGTAGGTTTTCTGTGGTGTTGGCAGAGAAGGATGAATGTGAGTTGGTGGGATGGGTGGGAAACTGCTCTCAATCAGAGCAGGCATAACATAGTCTAGGGACAGAATAGAAAGACATAAGTGAAGGAATGCTGATTCTTCCTCTTAGAACTTAGACATTCTGCTGCTGCTGTTGAACATCAGAACTCCATCCTTTCTGGGCTTTGAACAAGACCATCAACAGTGGCTCTCCACATTCTCAAACCTTCCATCTCAGATTGAATTACATGGTGGTTTCTTTGGTCCTGAGACATTTGTATGTGGACTGGACCATGCTATCAGCTTCTTTATTTCTACAGCCTACACATTACTTATGAAACTTCACAGGCCCCATAATAATGTGAGCAATGCCCTTTTACATGTTTATATCTGACTGCCTATCACTTATCTACCTTTTTATATGTTAACTTGTTTTTTATATCTAGTCTATATCTACCTCTTTCCCTGTCTCTTATCCCTCTGAAGAATAGTTACATTAACTGTAATGTGATCATTGCTGAGCTACATGACCACAATAATGTATCCTCTCGTTTCTTCTCATCATTCATGTACCAATTGGTAAGACTACTAAAGTACCTATTCCATCGGCTTGATAAACAACATTAAATAACTTGTTCTCTATATGTTGACTGAGGTTTCTGTCCCACCCTGTCCTGAAGCCATTCAGGCCCAAAGAAATACACAGAGGTCTACATTAATTATAAACTGGTTGGTCTAGTAGCTCAGGTTTCTTATAACTTATATTAGCCTATAATTCTTTTTTTTGAAAGAAAAGCAGTTTTATTAAAAAGAAAAATAACAAAAGGAAACCAGGACCAGAGTGCAGAGTTAGTCTATCCGGGCCTTCAGTGTCCTGGTGGTGATCTTGTCCTTTTCAATGATGTGGACAATGACGCCCATGCCGGAGACGGCATCCCGGTCCACAGCGTTTAGGCTTGGGAAATGGTCTCAAACAGGTGTTCTGGATCCATGTTGGGCTCCCAGAGAGACTCGCACATCCCATACATTTGTTCGGAGCAGGTACCACTGACTACAAAGTCGTCAGTTACCGTGGGGCAGCCAATGAGGTCTAGAGAGCAAATGAAGGGCTTAAAGGTCTTCGGGTCCAACCCGACAATGACAGGCTCTGTGTAGTAGGGACTAAACCGATTCTCATACAAGAGGTTGGCCACCATGCTCATGAGGGTGTAGGGCTTGAACTGCCGACCTTCCTTCAGCTCATACAGGTTCAACCGGAACTTGAGGTGCTGGGCCACTGTCTGGACGACGGTGGCCAGCCCGGCCAAGCCTATGTACAGCCTGTTACCCATGGGAAAGATCTTCTGGAAGTCTGTGGTCACCATCTGGGCCTGGATCCCGAAATGCCTGTCCCCGGCGATGGCCACACAGTTCTTTCCCTTGATGGCCATGACGGTCCCTCCGTTATAGGACATAATAGACATGATTGCGCTCTAGTAGGACTCTGATCACCACTGTGATTCTTGTAAACCGGCTCTGGCTTTCTCCTAGCCTATAATTCTTATCTGTGTTAGCCATGTAGCTTGGTACCTTTCATCAGCAAGGCAGTCTCATCTTGCTTCCTCTGTATCTTGGTGGCGACTGCAGACTGATCCTTTCCTCTTCCCAGAATTCTCCTGTTCTCGTTGTCCTGCCTCTACTTCCTACCTGGTTGCCCCGCCTATACTTCCTGCCTGGCTACTGGCCAATCAGAATTTATTAAACAAGTACAAGAAACAAACCTGTACAGGGTAAAACCATTGTCCCGCAGCATCTATAGTTATGTTTCTTGTGAAAGCCCATATTAAGGTAGTGCCTGAGCGTAAAAGCAACATTACTGAAAATAAAAGGATAAAAGCCTTGACAAGATATTCTTTCAATTCCTAAGTGAGATGGTGTAGAAGGAACAGCGGGCTGCATTCCCGCCCTCCACCCGGCTAGCTTTACCCAAAATAATTACATGGAAACTGTATTCTTTTAAACATTGCTTGGCCCACTATCTGTAGCCTCTTATTAGCTAACTCTTACATATTGATCTAACCCATTTTTAATAATCTATGTATCACCACGAGGTGGTGGCTTACCAGGAGGATTCTAACCTGTAGCTGTCTCGGAGAGGAGAGTCATGGTGACTGCCTGTCTCTATTTTCTTTCTCCCACAATTCTGTTCTGTCTACTCTACCCACCTAAGGGCTGGCCTATCAAAAAGGCCAAGGCAGTTTCTTTATTGACCAATGAAAGTAACATATAGACAGTTAACCCTCCTCCATCAAGATGGCAGACTAAAAGCTGACTTTTTGTGACCAAGTAAAGGAAAAGAATAAGAAAAAAGACAGACTATTCCAAAGATAGAAAGAACTTAAGAAATTCACAAAGGAAGTGAGAACATATTTATTAAGAAGCAGAGGATACTGCAGACTCATACTGTGGGACAATGGTCTTGTACTCTGTAAAGATTTGTCACTTGTATTGGTTTAATAAAATGCTGATTGGCCGGGCAGGAAGTATAGGCAGGGCCACCAGAATAGGAGAATTCTGGGAATAGGAAAGGCTCAGTCTGCAGTCGTCACCCAGATGCAGAGGAAGCAAGATGAGAATGCCTCACTTATAAAGATACCAAACCATGTGGCTAACATAGACAAGAGTTATGGGTTAATGTAAGATGTAAGAAATAGTTAATAAGAAAGCCTGAGCTAATAGGCCAAGCAGTTTATAATTAATGTAGGCCTCTGTCTGTACTTTTGAGACTGAATGGTGGTGGGACCGGGTGGGACAAAAATCTCTGTCAAAAGACCCAGCCATAACATCCTGCCAGGGAGAGAGGAAGCAGTCTTCCAAAATGTAAACTAAAAGCCTTGGTGAAAAGAACACTCAAAACAAATGCACAGCACCCAAAAGAACCTATGATTTGAAACTGAGTTGTTCTGGAGGTCTAAGAACTTAGAAAAGCCATGAGACAGGAAGCCTAAACTCCACCTGGCACAGGCCCAGTGCCAGTGGCAGACCTGTGAGTCATCTGTGGAGAGGTGGAAGGCTTGATGCGGACAAGCTCAAAGGTACTGGCAAATGGAGATTGTTTAGTGCTGGCTTCTTGATCATGAACTTGGAGTTATTAATTGGATCATGGACCCCATACCACTGGCTGTACCCTGAAAGAATAATAACTCCCATCTACCAGCAGTTATTTACTGCATTTATGGTCAATAGGGGTTATGGTCAATAACTCCTCTTCTTTGAATGGGACCTCATGGATTTCTCCTTCATCAGTTCTGGATAGATGAGTGACTTTTTCTTGTACAGGACTTACACAGATAACCAAATTTCACCGTAGTCTCCCCTCCTCCACCTCTTACATTTTTTCTATTCCTTCTTCTATGCTGTTCATTGAACCTTGGGAGGTTTGCAAAGTTCTATTTAGAGCTGAACACCCAGGATCTACCTCTAGTCAACACTTTGACAAGTTACGGCTCTCCACAAAAAACACTATGTAATACAAAAATAAGCTTTGCTGAGCAAGGATTGTAAAACCCTTAAATGGTGGATGACTGCCAGCAGTGTCTTCCAGACACAACAGAAGTGATACACATATGAACTCATAGCGACTGGCCATGCCTACAAGACAAATTCAAGCCAGACAAAATTCCCACACTGAAAAGGGGACGTGGATGCAAAGTCTCATCCCTAATCAAGAAGCTATTGTTAATTGATACCTGCTGGTAAAGGGGAAAAAATCAGTTTTTCCCCCCAGTAGAGTGTTACTGGGTATATCAACCACACTCCAGGGCAATTTTAATGCTCAGAAAGATTTGGAAAACCCAAAATGAACTCCATAAGTTTTTTTTGTGGACTTTTTGTTTTGTTTTGGTGTTGGGAGCCACCTGGAGGCACAGGTGGTCCTGCAGTTTGGAGGTAGCCATGTGGGGCTGAGCACCCCTGCCTGCACCCTTGCTTGCACATGCTCAGACCAGCAGAATGGCATTAACCAATCAGGACAGCGTTCAAGCCTCTCCACCGCTTAAAAGCAGCTGCCTTGGGGCCCAACGCTCTCTCTCTAAGCTTTCTCTCGTCCCTGCTCTATCTTCCCTTCCCCCAATTTTCCTCAAGGGAATGCTCCAAATAAAGATGTGACCAGAGAAGGAATTCTCGTTTTTGGTGGTGTTCATTCCTGCTGGCCAGGATGGCCCCCCGCATTTTGGCATTTTTTCATCTGACTGTTTTTTGTTTGTTTTTATTTTAATTTTGTGGGTTATTTTCCTAGGTGACAGAGTATGAGTTTGGGTAGGTAGAGAGGTAGGGAGGATCTGGGAGTTGGTAGAGGGAAACACATAAAACTATGAAAAATAAATAAAAGTAAATATTTAAATAATAAAAAGAAAGAGAAACAATAATCTATGGGTACAAGCAAAATATTTTTAAAGTATTTTTACAATATGACCATATTTATGTAGAACTATTCTTGAGAGATTCGAATAGATGTCTACTCACCTCAGAAAGAGAACTTATGACAAATTGAAGTATAGATGCCTTTATAGCCAACTTGGTGAACCAATGAGTTTTGTTGGAATTATTTTCAGGAGGCAGAAATAACCTGAAAACAACTACATTGCCAAAACCCACCTCGGCATTGGTGACAGCTTGCAAAATAGGGAACGCGGGGCACACTGCACAAATTGCTAATAGCTCTAAAGTTGTAGATTGCCCTTTCCTACAATAGGAATAGGCCCTATTCCTTTCCTGTTCAACTTGATTGGTCGGATCCTCTTCAAGACAGCTCAGATGATCTTTGTTTCTTCTAGGCAGTTCAATTAGTCTCTGTGTTACTCATGCTGGTTGGCTGATTTGAGCCTCTTTTTGGTACTTCAGTTTGCCTGGGAGTGACTTTGAACAGCCTTACCTGTTTATGTGCTTCCGAGGGAGGAAGCAAGTGAACCTGGCCAGCTGTAGCAACTTTCTGGGGCTACATTGAGTTGTTTCTCTACTGATTTGAAGGAGCTTCCCTGAGGGTGCAGTGTTTCACTTTCCCTTAGAACATCCTGTTGTTTCACCTCCTTTTTTTTTTTTTTCGCCCTATGCCTTAGGAGCATCCCTCCAAGATGGAAGATTTTAATGTTGGAAGAAACTGCTACACAGTATAATTTAGCAAAACAACTGTAGTAGATTCCCACTTAGGATCTAGGACCTCTCCACCCACAGGGGAGCATGTTTATAGTACCACGAATTTCATTCTGGGGAGTGGGGTTCAAATCTAACAAGAAAGCAGCTGCTTACTACCCATAGTACTCACGCCACTGCTGCACATATGGGAACATCTTGCCTGGAAGATTGCTATTTACACCACACCCGGTCCACCACTCGTTGATGAGTTTTCTTTGCCAGAGGTCTTTGTAGATATATCTAGCTAGAAAATAGGATGGTTCCAGGTCAGTTCCAGATTGACATCTCAATGTTCTGCAACCAAAATGTATGGTGTCTTTAGCAATAGGGTTTTAGGATTTATTTTTCTGTGGACAACCAAGAACAACAGCAATAGCCCATGTTGTTTTGAGGAACAATGAGGACTCCCTGGGCAGTCAATAGGAATGTATCCCACACATGGCGCTGAGATTTCATTTAATAACCCATGGCTTCTAGTGGGAGGGTTATCCACCCAATCAGGCTACCTCAGGCTTTCGACGTATCTTTGGTTTTGACTGACCTCCCCGCCACCTTCTGTCCTCCATCACTGACTATAATCCTGACTTAAACTTTTTGTTCTTCTGTTCCCTCTCTTTAATTCTGTAGCATATATGTTCTAATACCATTTCTCCTTCCAAAGCCTTTTCTAATTTTCCCTTTTCTAGCTTCTACAGACATCTCAAATTAAACAGTCAGATCCAACATTCAAATCTAAAATTTGATATGTGTGAATATATTGGGAGTTGTCTCTCTGGGCTCACTTAGTGTGATATTTTCCAGTTTTATCTATTCTCCTGTGAATTTCATAATTTCCATTTTTTATAGGCAAATAAAATTTTATTTTGTATGTGTACCATAACTTCCTTAGCCATTCATCTACTGATCAACATCTGGATTTATTCTAATTTCTAGAATGGAATACACAAAACTGGACACAGATCAATGAATGGAATACAGGTTCCAGATATAAGTTTGCAAAGATACCAACCACCTAATTTTTAACAAAGACTCCAAAAGACACTTATTAGAGGTAAATGTATCCTCCAACAAATGAGGCTGGGAAATAATATCGAGAAGAATAAAATTAGATTCTTATCTCGCAGCCTACCCAGAACTCAACTCTAAGTGGTTCAGGACTGCAGAGTGAAATCTGAAACTTCTACATGAGACAGTATGGAGTACCCTTTACGTTACAGACACTGCTAATGACTTCATGAATAAAGCTCATGCCTTTCAGGAAGTAAGGTCAATATTCAACAAATGGAGCCTGGCGCTCATCTTGGATATCTT